CTGATTGTGAGGCGAGAGCTCCACCTCTAGGCCACCGCACCACTCTCAAAGTGGTGTTAGTCAAGGTGGTGTTTGAGCAAACTATATTACGTGGCAAGATTTCTCAATAAACTTCAGGTGTCTGAAACTGAACTCAGTAAACTTTGCATAAGAGCAAAAATATATCTGCAGCAAATACCTCTGCTTGCTGAGCTCAGCTATCTATATCGTAGCATAGAGCTCTCCAATTTGGGGAGATACTGGCATATTTGAAATGGAGAATACATTACAGTTAATTGTACAAATCAGATGCAACCGAGCATAATTTCAGATATAAAACACTCGGGATATTCAAAATATATGTCAATCTGGGAATCCAATGTTCTGAAAAATTCTGAAATTTCCTTCTGGACTTCCCAAAAAAGAATCAAGAAGGGAAGGATATTTAGTAGGCATCATGAGACCTTGTACAAACCTACTTCGACTATGGATAGTATGTTGGGATCCCATATAACAGTGATCCCCAACCCCCGGTCCGCGGACCGGTGCCGGGCCGTGGAGTACCTGGCACCGGGCCGCGCAGCGGCCGGGGGCCATGATCGCTGCAGCGGCCGGGGGCCATGATCGCTGTAGCGGCCGGGGGCCATAGTTTCTTTCTGTATGCAAATTAGGGCTAACTGGCACAAGGGGTGTTACTGGACCGCTGGTGGCACTCTGACGTCACCAGCGGCCCACCGCCGCCCTGTGTCCAGCGCCGCCCTTCTCATTCCTTTTCAGCGCTTCAGCGCTGGCCGATTCCTGAAAAAAACCTAAGAGCGCCTGCGCAGCTACGTAGGGCTAGCGTAGACAGCGCTAGTAGCGTAGCCTTGCACTTTATATTTATGTAATTGTATTTTATTTTGTAAGGCATGTTTAAATACAATAAAATAAAAGTTGTTTAATCAAAACAATCTGATATATAAACAATCAATGTGTCGTCGCGAACAATGCCTCCCCACCCCTGCGCGCGCTCAGCGGGCCACGGTAAAATTATCAAAGGCTGACTGGTCCGCGGCGATAAAAAGGTTGGGGACCACTGCCATATAAGACAAGAGGAAAAATAATGGGGGATATATAAATAGGTCCTGAGGCTCATCCTTGCTATAATGTGTACTGTACTAGTTTCCAAGAAAATTAAGACATCTGTAAGGATTGTATGAAATGGTGTATTTTATTTGACAACAGAATACCCATCACTGAGAGAATGAATTCTCCTCTTCAGCATTCCTCAACTGTAGTCACTGCAAGAGTAAAGCTTTGTTAGTTTATCATGACCAAAATTAAAAGGGATCTGGTAGCACCTTTTCAGTCTAACAAATTTTGTTAAAAGAGATAAGCTTTGGTGAGCTGCAGCTCCTCCTGGTTTTCTAACAATTCCCAAAGCAGTTTTACAGAGTTAGGAATTTCCCACTATACATTTGTGAAGGGCACAAAGAAAACCTTGTTATGTTTGAGGGTTTGATACTGAATGTTTGCAACTCCTTGCAATATATCAATATCTATCTATCTATCTATCTATCTATCTATCTATCTATCTATCTATCTATCTATCTATCATCTATCTACCTACCTACCTACCTACCTACCTAACCTACCTACCTATATCAATGTATATATGTATATACGTATCTGTGTATATGCTTATGTATATGTATGTGTGTGTGCGTGTGTATTGCAAAGAGTCAGAACATGATGGGGAAGAAATGATATGTAAGATTTAAAGGCAGTGAAGGAAAGTAACTACAAATATATTTAGAATATTGAACAGAAATGAAAAATAGCTAAACACTGGTTGTTGAAAAGTTAACATGAAATTTTATTGTTTCCTTTTCCTCACAAGAACTAAAAACAGTTTCTGTACTTCTAAGAAAAAAAATTAAATATTTTACCCTTTTTAATATTTTACCTTAATTTCTCTTTGTTACTGCTGTATATCTTCTTTCTCCTTTTTACTCTGCTGTAACTAAAAAGCATTTAAAAAAAAAACACTTTCAAAGCAGGCTTAGTGACAGATCCTTTCCAAAAGGTCAAACAGCTGAATTCAGAAGTCACCAAGGCCCCGGTTCTCTAACAAATGTCCCAGCTGGGCTTTTGCCATGAGGAAGAGTCAAGTGCCATGGTTCGTTATTCTTCACACTGTACCGAAGGCCTCAGCGCAACGGATCCAAAATTTCACAGTTACGCTTCTAGGCCACACACTAAAAATGCACAGAACACCACAGATGCTGGCTTTTTAGACAAAACCCACCATCCATCAAGAGCAAAAAACTAGGGTGGCTGGAAAAAAAATGAGAAGAAAACAGCCTTTTGTTCCTTTTTTTTTGGCCACTGGAGGATTATAAGGGGTGGGGGGGGGGGGGAAAGGAGAGAGTCAAGTGCAGGTTTTTCAGAGCTGTACATGAAAAGCCCATTCATCAGGTGATAAAAGTCACATGCATTTGATTGTGCCAGTTTAACAAAAACCACAGTAAGAGGCATTTGTTTAGGCGATATCAGTAACTGAAGAAACAGCAGGGGAAACAAAGACACTCCAACTATTCAAGAGCAAAGGGCAGAGAAAAATAAAGGAAGTAAGGAAGGACAGACAGCTCCAACACAGAGAAGAAAGCAGCAATATTAATGGGAAACTTGAATGTTTATTCAGTTATTTTAAAAAAAACTGCCTATAGTCCCACCCAATCCATATGGTTTGGGCAGCAAACAAATTTGCTGCCCACATTTGTTTGCTAGCCATATAATTTCAATGCGCCACAAAATATTATCCCCACAAATGCAAACAGACAGAAAGAAAGAAAGAAAGAAAGAAAGAAAGAAAGAAAGAAAGAAAGAAAGAATAAATCTGCACAAAGTCCAGGACTAAACATATTGTTTTCTAAAGCAATAGCCAGTCATTTAGATTTATTGCTATTTATAAATGGTAGATCTTTAACCTCCACTGGGATAGAAAAACTAATATAATACAATAATACAATAGCAGAGTTGGAAGGGACCTTGGAGGTCTTCTACTCCAACCCCTTGCCAAGGCAGGAAACCCTATACTGTTTCAGACAAATGGCTATCCAAATATCATCCTCAATATATTATGCACTAGTAGTTTTCATGCTTGGCAACTTTAAAGGTGTGTGGACTTTGACTCGCAGAATTTCTCAGCCAGGCATGTGGAATTCATGTCCACAATCTTAAGAGTTGCCAAGTTTGAAAACACTGTTATAAAGAATTCTGCCCTTCCCACTTCCTGAATACTTATCACCTAGTAAGTCTTACTGGTTTTTTTTTAAAGTACATACAGAGATTACTTCAAATTTCAAAAGTCGTTTATCCAGTTAAAAAGGAAAAGCAACATGCAAGTTACATCTGATGCAATTTCACGTTTTGAGATGCCATTAGCAAATAGCATTTTCTTTCTTTTTAGAAAAGCACTTGCTGGAGCATTTAAACATTCAAAGAACATCCAATAAATAGTCCAATAAAACAGCTTTATCATCCTGTCTCAAAGAAGAGATGAGGCAATGCCTCAAGATCACTAATAGATTCATTACCACAGGTGGTCTTAGAAAATGGATCCATTGCCCTCTTTATGATCATATATTTTCTATAATCACATTCAGTACTAGTTTCTTATATTTTTATTCATATGCTCCTGTTTCTAATCAAACCAAGGTTTTAATATAAATAGGGGCAGAGAATTATCTACACTACGTTTTCCAAATAAACAGCCTATTTTTATGACAGGACTGATTGGGACTAAAAGCCCTACATGGTTTAGGACCTGGCTACCTGAGAGACCGCCTCCTGCCATTTACCTCCCAGAGACCAATAAGACCACACAGATTGGACCTCCTCCGGGTACCATCGGCTGGTCAATGTCGGTTGGTGGCTCCCTGGGGGAGAGCCTTCTCTGTAGCTGCTCCGGCCCTATGGAACGATCTCCCCGTAGAGATCCGGACCCTTACTACTCTTCCGGCCTTCCGTAAAGCTATTAAGACCTGGCTGTTCCGGCAGGCCTGGGGCTGATGATTAGTATCCAGCCCCACTCTAAGCAGTATGCATGTTGTGTAATTTTAATGATTGTATTCTTATTTTAATTTTTTTATATGTCCCTTGTCTTGTCTGTGAGCCGCCCAGAGTCTCTAGGGAGTGGGCAGCATACAAATGTCAATAAACCTAAACCTAAACCTAAACTAAATTCCACTTATAAACCTTCGTAATACTGCACTATAGTTCTTGGATAGTAGCCATTTTGTGATGCATAATTTAACTAGCAGTGGACTTCGAGGCATAGAGTCTGTATGCAGATCTACAAACTTGAACTGTTTGAAGCCAGCCAGCTAGCAATATTTCCTTCTCTTCATGAGGACACAAAGCAGCTAAATGAGGAACCTAATTAAGGATCGAAATAATAATATAAACACTCTGCCCAACAGCTGAAAGACCATCGTCTATGTCAATTAGGTGCAATACCTTGTATGAAGGACTACAAAATGAGTTCATCAGGATAGCTACTGGTTGCTTTGTTGTTTTGTTTCAATGCTACAGAAAAGTGACTGTAGGTACAACTTAGGTATATAGATGGAGATGCAATTCAGTAGTCTTGGATCTAATATTTATCCTGAATTTTCAAACAACAGCCGATATAGAAAAGGGGCTTATATCCAGTGTGGCTAATACACCGATATGTCATTTTCCTAAGACTTCACTTCTTATTGTCTGCCCTGGTAAACATATTAACAAAAATAAAACTGATTATATAGGATTGGTCTTTAAAACGGCAAAAAAATGTCAGCCACTCTAAAGGGCAATATGACCATTGCCTACAGCTTGGGAATCAAGTATATTAAAACAGGTCCGTAATTATTCCCAAGGTACTCTAGAAAATCATCTTTCAGATTTATACAATTGTAATCATTAACTCAAGTAAACTCATAATCCAAGGAACTCTGTCTTTGTTTCCAAATTTCAGTATAACAATTATTCACTGTTACCTTTTCAGATGATGCTGATGGTTCTACTAAGAGAGGTTCCTGCTCACTGGACTTGTTGCTATGATCATGTTCTTGCCCAGCAGAATTGGGCATGTGTCCCTTCCTGAGCCGTATAACTGGCTCCAGAGTGCTTGCATTCCCAAGATCTGTTGATTCGTTCATGAGATCAAGGCTCTTCCTTAAAAGTTCTTATTTTCTCCAGCAAGAGGCAGTGACGAATTGGTTAGTTCTGAAAAACAAAGTTGATAACGATAAACACATCACCCCCAAAGCTATATAAACCTACCTAGTATTTTTCTTTTCTTTTTACAGGTACCAAAAGCCATAGCCATCAAGAATACACATTAAAGTCCTGAAGCGGGCAAGAGATGATGGATAGATGATTTCTCTTTTTTGATATTGTTCTGATTTATTTTTCCTTTTTTTGTCTCTTTTCTTTTTCTAGGTGGGTGACATGATTAGAAATTAGATAAGATAGAAAGAAAAAGCCTTTTAATAAAGGGTGACAGGACTAAAGCTAGAACAAGTGATAGAAATAAGAGAAGAGGGTGTCAGGCCTGCAATTATATTCCTTTTAGAATTTTGGCCTGCCACACTTTCTCTTATTTCATTATGCTGTTTCATTAGTATAGTCGATGGGAGGGGGGAATAGACAGGAGTAGGATTGTGGAATGTATTGTTTTTCATTCTTTTCTAGAAGCTCAAGGTCATCT